GTTACAATGTCTCCTGATGGGAGCTGAATGACAGACCAAACTGCTCCATGATGACCAGACAATGTAATTGAAGGGTTTGTACTGCCATCTAAATTCCACACACAAGCTGTTGCATCCCATGATGAACTCAATACTGTTTTTTCATTTGAGCCAGCAGAGAGACTGCAAACTGCAAGAAAGAAAAAAAGAAAGACAATTTTGACATGAGAATATAGAAGCAAAAAATGTAAAAAGAAAATCTATCCTACTATGTACCCTGTAGACAGTCAGGGATGGGGAAGAGTTATAGTGCTACACATTCTCAACCTTGGCACTAGATAGGAGTGAGTGGTCAGTGTCATGCCCTGGCTGTGCTTTACCCCTGGAAAAAAAGACCCTTGGTACCCATTGGACAGGAGGCTGGGTGGGCCCCAGATCCAGTCTGGACACAAAGACCGGAGGAAAAATCCTCTGCCCCTGTGGACTGTGAGCCAGTAGCTCTGGCATGCCACCTCAGGGAGCTGCAAGTTCAGCCAACCCAGGGTAGCTGAGACAATAAATAGGGGCAAGGACAAGTTGTGAGAAATCTACCTATATTCTCTATAGATGTCACCTCCTTGGGAGTCAGTAGTTCTGACACCACAGGCAACTGGTGGTGCCAGGTAACACGAGGATAAGGGTGACTCTGTATGTAGGCCAAAACTATATAAATGCATACATACTCAGGGGCAACATTTTCAGTATCTCTTAGACACATTGAGGATAACTGCTTTTATTCCTATTATGGAGTAATGCTAAACTCATATCATGTTTAACTATCAGTGCTAGGCTAAATGTAGGCTGTCACTGTCCGGAAGTATGGAAATTACATAAATATGTAATTTAGCAGGGAGACAAACTATACTTGATTTCATAAAGGCTTCTTTGCCTATCATAAGAACTTAATGTAATTACATTTTAGTAACAGTACATTAAAAAATCCCTGCACAATTGGCTGATTTAATAGAATAACAAAAACTTAGGATGCTTACACTTTAAACACAATACAAGAAGTGACAAATATCCGTAACTAACAAACACATAATCATAGGGTAAAAGTGAGGTTATGTATTTTACAAACAAATTGTTACACATTGTATAAAATATTACTTAATGTTCCATCATATGACACAAAGCTTTCAATATTTTTGTAATAAATATGCTGTTGCTGGGTCCTTCAATCTTATTTGATGACAAAACAAATTCAAAAGGGCAAATCACACTTACCAGCATTAGTATGTCCTTCCAATACATACAGCGGTTTGGAAGAATCTGGAGCAAAGGCACAAATACAATGGTCATTGCTTCCCGTCAATATAAGACCCAAAGGTTGTCCATCGTGAGGGGGCAGAACACACACACACACAACAAAATTTGAATGTCCAATCAGAGTTTGTACCTCACAATATCCGGTATTAATCCTGAGAAAACAAATACCTATTATTAAAGTTTATTTAAAAATACATATTTGTACATACTTCTACCAACTAGTGTACGTAAAAACTACACAATAATTACCCATTTGGCTTCCAAATCTTCGCGGATTTGTCCCTGGACCCAGAAACAATATAACCTTCGTGGGTTGCGGTTACAGACCTAACGTCCAAATTATGCCCGATGAGAACACAACTTAATTTGTAGGGAACTGAAGCCATTGTAGCGTTTTCTTCACAACGAAATTTAGAATTCGTCCTGATACATTTATGCAATGTCCAATAAAATGCGAATAGTCATCTTCCACACTAGAACATTCAACCGTCACATATGCAATGAACTTCTAGAACAAAGGCATTGGCATTTCGGGAAATACATTAAGCAAAAACTTATCGTTCTGATAAGAATTGTAACTTGTAGTTAGCAAAAGAACAATAATTTTCCGGTATTTTTAAAACTAACATTAAAATCACACTGCTATGAGCGATAAATGCTAATTTATATAATCGGTGATTCTCTGTGCTGAATAGAACACTTTCACTGCCATCTTCATGAGAATTTAGAATTCCATATCCTACGTCGGTAGCTCGATCTGCTATATGGTTCACTCCAATTTGACTGTAATTAAATAGAACCACAGAGTAAAGCAACAAAAATTAACTCATTATGAGCTTGATTTGTAAACAAATTTGAAAGCCAAACTGATATCTCATAATTTTTACCCTTAAACATTTATTTTCATTTAGCTCTATAGTTGCTCAAATATGGTTGCTATACCACACATTGTCCCACTAAAAGAGTACAGGGAGCAAAGGCTTGAGGAAGCAAATCTCTGCTACTGGAGTTTTAAGACAATAAAGTGTAAGATATGCTATCAAATCTAATTGACAACACACCATTAAAGAGCATATGTAGTCACAAAGGGCAACGACTGCCATACCATCAGATAAAACTTTCTACTAAGAGAATGTCTATGATTAATATACTAGTTGTATATATAGGCATATATGTTTGTTGCATGTGTGTGTGTGTTAGGCAAACAGTTTAGCATAATAGGGGAATCAGAGCAAACTTTAATCAAGTGTCAGTAATTTTTGGACCATCACTTGGATTACTGTTTTTATTACCATCCTGTTCATACACTACATAAGGAGATAATTTAAATTAACTAGTTTTATTATAAGGACATCAGAAATACAAAATACAAATTTGAATAGGAGAATTTTCTCTTACAGTGTATTAAACACCATACTGCACATATCATTTGTCAAGTTTTCTTTGATACCACATTACATTATGCAGCAGATCAGTGTGAGGCAGGACATCATCCTATCCAGCTAATTGTTATATTTAATATTTATTTCACATCAAATAAATAAATGAACAAAGAAACTGACCCATCTTTCTGTTATAGGCTTAAATATATAATTATACACAAACCAAACTGAATACATATTCTTATTGCGTACTTTATCCCAACAGCGAATCACAACAATAATAATTACACTTCATTATACATTTCTTAAGAATGTTAAATTAGAAATATTTCTCTGAATCAATATATCACCAGCAAAATTATTTAAATAAATAAATAAACAAATATGTATAAACACAATTCATTATAGAGAATGAGGGCAATACAGCACTCTGGTTTCTGCCATTCCTATTGACAAAGAGTGCCAGTAGAAATGACAGCATTGTACTTGCTACATACAGATCCATGATTAAAAAATAATGACCTGTTTAAAAAAATAATGCATTAGACCAACTAATATGAATCATTCTTACTTTTGTATACATTACAAATAACATAAATTTATGTGCATTTACTTTACAATATAACCCCATACATCACCACAACCACCACCACCACCACCCAAATCATAATGTTTCCTCTATGTGAAACAGTCTTTCCCACCAAATTCCCATTCAGAAAACATATTTTCAATAGAACTGACAGGGGAGGTCAAAATATTTAAGTAATGTTTGACATTTTACTTTAAATTTATAAATGGCTGCTTCAAAATATCAGTGCCTTACCCACATACACACACAGCAAATTATAAATATTTTCACCCTTCATGGACAGGAAAGTTCAACTTCACAGAAAATCACACTATGAGTCCTATACAGAACTGTTCTGCCAAATATACAGTGTGCTATAATATTAATAATATTTGTAGAAATTACATAACTTTATGACTACCTCCATGATTGACAAACTCCCTTGAAAAGTACAGATGATCAGCAAAAATTCCATAAAAAAATAAACAAGATTTGAAAATGTTGCTATTAATCTATGATTTTAAAGATATATTCCGCAGAGTAAACAAAAATTCCAAAAGTGTTCTTTATGCCATATCTTATGGCTGCCATATCATATAGCAAGTGACAGATGGCAGCATGGTAGGTAATGACATCATTACAGACAATCTTCATTCCACCTCATAAGTTTCATCACGTTGTAGGAAAATAAAAGTGTGTTAGAAATGGCATAATATTCTTACCAATCTTTACAAAAATCTGTTTAGACATTCACAAGTCATACGTGTACAGACAGCATTGCTGTCATCACAGGCAATTAAGTCATCATAGAGGCTCATGTGTAATGATATGATCACAGACAATCATTGCCCCACATGAAATTAAAAATAAGATATCAATGTTTTAGAGCAGCATACTGTGTTCATATTTATCTCTGGAGGTGAAGACAGTTTGTTCCTCCAAAACAATGGTATCTGCCTACAAGTCCACATGGTGTTACAAGCCAGAACACTGACATTTTTTAATCATGATAGTCTGGTGAATACCAGGTACCAAATTGTCAAGCCATATATTTGTCTCTACTACCAAGAAAAAGGGTCGAAGCAGCTTTCACAGGAATTCTGTTTTCAGAATACCATATTTAATATTACCATTATTATGCAAGAAATAGTTAAAATAGTGAGATGGAAATAATACCCAAGATGCACAATTGACTCAGCACAAAGGAAATGAAATAGTGACCCATAGCTTTGATAAGTGTTCTTGCTTTGTCATATCTCACAGATCACATGAATACTGCGACTCAGGCAAGAGTATATCCTAACCGTTGACAACATATTGCCTTTCCCCTAAAACCAGTCACGCACTTATGTGGCTATTCAGTCTCTCGCAGAAATACTGCAAAATAAATATCTAAATCAAACATGGAAATTAAATTCCAAAATAACTATACAATAGCACATTTTTTGTAGATGCTGGCAGTTTTTGAGAATTCAGCATGTTCCAAAATACAGGGTTTACACATATGAATAGAGGGGTTTTGCAAGCAGAGTGGTAAATATAGAATCTCACTGTACATTGTACTTTTGTTTATTTGATTCACCAACTCAAAAAGCTTTTGTAGTGGTATTACGCAACTTCAATATGTGAGTCATTAATCTCAGAAAGCATGCAGATTTTTCACGATCAGTACGCATCACAACACAACCCTGTAAACAGAAACTATACTGTTAACAAAATTATATGAGTTTCTTTCTAAGTAAACATGCATTTAACCCTGGGTATTGTAGTAGCAATGAAATGGCAAGGTCACAAAACCCCATTATTCATGTAAACTCTGTACACTGGCTAAAACACACAGAATATAAAGTAAAATAATCTACTAAACTACTAAATAATTTTCATCCTTTACTATTCACCAGATATCACACTGTTGATTTCAAAAGCCTACTCCATGTGTATACCAATACAAACAAAGAAATGCAAAACATTTTTCAGTAATGTCTATAGATATGTATTGCCCCCCCAAAAATAATTGTGAGGTTATGGTAAGACAATCAAATAAGCTGATTTTCCTGACTAGATGTGCTACCACAACATAACTCACTTCAGAAGAATTTTCAAATCACTGTTAGCTTCTGCAAAACACTTTTGTTCCAACAGTTTGTCACCAGACCATTATGTAGAGATATGTTATTGGCCGTAAAACAGAATATAACTAAAATAACACAGTACCGCAAAAACAGACCTTCTCTCATCAGGTACAGCATGACCATGGTCACTGACAGGATCTTTTCCAAGGGAGGCAACCAGAAAATTTTCTTATGGAACTTCTAATTTCTATATATTTCCTTAAAATCTTGCATTTATGGCCAATTCTGCTGAGGAACATTGTTTTAATCAAGACAGAAGAATAAATTCCATCTTCAAAATGCTTTACTAGAAGTTTTGGAATTATTTTTTGGTATATTCACTTATTTTTAATTTGTTTAATTTTTATTTTATCTCCAAAGAACTTGAGGAGGGGAGCTGGTGCCTACCCCCATCCCCCAACCTGACACCAATGTGTATGGCCTGGTATAAAGAAATTGGAAATACAGAACTAAGTTACAGATTATAACTTTCTTTTACTTAGTAACATCTTGAAGATGAGGAACATAACATTGAAGATAAACTTAGAATTACTACTTCAGGAACTGTTTCAAACATCCTTTGAATACTGTAATGAGTGAAGTATATGTGCAATGTTTGCTCTGTACATTATTTTGTCCCATTGAGTAACTAATCAAAATGTAGTCTTGTGGTGTTTATCTTTTAACTTCAGAGTATATAATTTACTTTAAATCATGTGACACCTGTTAATATTGTCATTTATGAAACACGTGTTACAATTTATAATAATTTAAAATGTTAAGGTTTGTTTTATATTCCCAACTGGTCTATGTATAATGTGATCTGCAATGCAAGGCTGATAGTTACTCTTCCTGAAGCATTTTTCCCATCTTTGCACTTAAGTGTTTACCTTACCAAATTTAATATATTATCAGTGTCTCTACCCCAAACTGGCTTTCTGGCTTTTAACTTTGGAACTGTTTCCACACAGTGATATACATTTATATTAAATGATTATAATACCATTTAACCTTTTTATACATGAATAAAGTATTTAAAGCCCAGTACTATGGGATTGCCACGGGACTTAAATCTGCATTTATCACTTTAGCAATATGCTAGTGCAATACAAGACCAGCTAGATGGTGTACAGGTCATGACGCATGGTCAAACAGGTTAACAGAGCATGTTCAATATCCACGATGATACAAGTGTTGCCTATCATGATATGGTGCCGTGTCATTTCTCCATTTACGTTGCCAGAGACACATCACAGCCAAAAGCACCTGAGTACAGAGGAAGATGGTGGCAGCAGCTGCAAGCCCAAGAATGTTCATACAGAAAGGATGCTCCCCACCTTTTTCAGCTAATCTATCTCTGTTCTTTCCATCTCCCATCTCCTTGTTAAACTGAAACTTATCAGCAATTCGTATACTTTGAACCAACAGCATATCTTCGTCATTTGTTGTACTAACGCCTCGTTTTCTTCTCCTCTTTCCATAGGAATCTACTCGACGTTCTATTCCGTAATAATCCTCGACGTTACATAAAACTGGTTCACATGATGGGAGGCAAGGAGTTACCAGAGCTTTGAATTGCACAACATCTGAAGTAGGGAATTTGAACGCATCAAAAGGAGCCTGAAGAGATCGCGCTGCTTGGTCTACAGTTGTGATAGGACCCATTATAGTTGGGTCTGTAGGACAGCCTAAGCTATCGATGAGCAGAATCTCACTAGAGTCAACACCATCTAGAGCCACAAGTTCTCGCACAAAGATCTGGTATGGTGTGTCTTCATCGAGGATGTTGAACCGCAGACTGAGTGCATCACCAACTTGAGCTGTATGGATGTCCTGACCCTGACGGTCAGTAATTCTCATCGTGACTGTAGGTGACACAACATAAGCATTCTCTTCACTTTCGTCTGGTTCACCACTCACTTGAAGTTCCACACCATGTCCTATACTCCTATTCTGAAGATTGTATGAACACCTTACGGAGAGCCCAACATCCTGGCTTGTTACAATTTGATCATGGTGCTGAAACAGACCAGCATGAGACGTAGAAAATCAGCCATATACAGTAAAAAGAGATAACATTTTATTGACCAATGCAAATATACATACAATACACAGATGTATACAGTATTTGTGTGTGGCCCTTAATCTAATGGTACTTTATCAACTGTAATACTTGTGTATCACTGATAATAGGGTAAATGTGATTGACAAATTCAAGAGGATGTGAAAGGAACCAGCCACAGCCTATTTTGAAGTAACATTCCAGCATTTCCTGGAGCAACTAAGGAAAACCATTAACCTCAGTAAAGGTCACTGTTCTTTGGACTGAACTTAAACCCAGGACCTATGAAGCACAAGAACCACCACTCAACTGTAACATCAAGTGTGTGTGTGTTTGCACGCATTACAGGACTTGAAAAAGGGTCAGGACGCTGCCCTTGACCGGGACGTTCTTGTAATGGCCGCTAAGAAAACCAAAATGTCAGCCATCATTTCACATAGTGGTATTGATGGCTAATATAGAAATACCCCCCCCCCCCTCAAGTTTTATACAACTTCCAGGTCAATTAACATATCTGTTACAGCCTCCCATTGTCTACATCCTCACATCCTACAAAATGTATCTTTAACACTTTAAATCCTTAAGTCAGAAAGTAATGCAATCCTTCTGCTGATTTTTAACATTATGAAATCAAGCTTAGTTGAGGAGAAAATAAAGGGCTCCAATCCTCCTCCCCATACCACGGTTACGACTGGCCAATCTTCCTGGTCTGATTTTATATCTAATCCTATAAAAACCCACAAATTTTCCAGTCCTCTACACTTCAATCCTGAAGATCCTAAACTCCGGCAGATTAAACTAGAAGACTACATGGAACAAAAAACCATACGATCACAATCAAAACATGAAATCTTGCATCAGAAAATGAGTGATTCTTTCCTTCTGCTGCAGTCTTACCTGGATGATAATGTCCGTACTGAATCTACCCAAAGCATCCTGCCTTACGTCACAATTGAGGTCATGGTACCCCAAGCGCAAATCAAACTCCAGGTCATTGACGACATCGGCCACGCAGGAATTCGGGCGGTTCTTGGCATAAACTTTGCCATTGAAGATCTTATTAGTTTTGATTCTCGCCACCATATCGGACGCTCGGCAGTCGACCGTCACGTTGTAGCACGCCGTCAGCTGATAAGTCGTTGCTGACTCTAGTTCGAGGTAAGGCTCTTCGATGTGTTGCAGGCTCGGTGTGGCGTGATGTGATAACCGACACACCCCAGTACCTGCAATGATTCAAATCAGGATTCAACCGTCTGTAAAACTTCCCGCATGAACTTGGCAGACGTATCAACTGTAAACATGAATTTTATTTGTGATTAATCAGTTGTATGGAAGGTCTGAATCCGCACTCCACTCCATTCGGGTTTGATATTATGTCAGAATGGCAACATTTATCAATTGTTCCAGTGGTCTTACACACACCTAAAAGTTTCACAGATGCTTGACTGTCCACATATGGATTTTCATTAAATTGCACACAAGCTAATTTTACTAAAACTTGTCAACACATTCCAAAGTCGGTTAAAATCTGACACCAACAGCCGGCACTAGAAGAGCTGACATGCCTTCCGACACACAGTGCGGTGACCGGATGGGGAATCCCTGCGGAGGGAATCCTCAAACAGGAAATTTACCCTAACAAATCTAATGTCACAGCAAAGTGGTTAGCACTCCTATTACTTTTACGGGAGGTCCCGGGTTCAAATCTCGACCCAGAGGCTGGCTATATTGTATTTCGTATTTTTCCTCAGTCCATCTTGGCAAATTTTGAGATAATACCTCTAATTACGTTATGCCTGTTTCCTTCTGTAGTTTTTAAAATTAATTGCTCACTAATCATCGTACCAGTCGATACAATCTACGCTACTGAAGCGAAGTGAAATACAGACTACAAACAAATATTTCGAACAGCAGGACTTTTGGCTCAATACTATTGAGCGATTGACCATTTTGTGACTGAATGATAATTATATGTAAGTAAAGTAAAGTTTGTCCAGCTACACGCCATGTAGGCGCTTGGGGTGAGAGGAGGTATAGCTCCTCTCTTCCTTGACCTCGGCACTAGATGGGGGTGAGTGGTCAGCATCACGCCCCGGCCGGCATTACCCCCGGGAAAGGACCCATTGTAGAGGAGGCTGTGTGGGCCCAAGAGAGGAAAAATCCTCGGCCCCCGTCGGGGATCGAACCCCGGTTGTCCAGCCCGTAGCTAGGCACTATACTGACTGAGCTAGCCCGGCTCCAATAATTATATGTACTACCTGCTTTTAAGTTCCTTAAAAATCATAAACCAGCCGAAATTTACAATCGTGACAGGTTGTGTTTTTATTGTAATAGATTTATAACTTAATACTGGGGCATAATGACAGATAAACTGTAATCGTTTTATTATGGATGGAAAGAAAGTAAGAAGGAAGAGTAATTCTCAATAACCTGTCCTTCATAAGAAGTTCCGTGAAATATCCACCAACAGGTTTAAAAGTTGTTGCAAGAAGTTATCTTTCATTACAAACAAGGAAAGGATTCTTTCTACCTGTGTCTCCAAAGTCGAAAGTGTGGCAGCGAAAATCTGGAGCTTGCAGACACAGTTGTTGGCACTGCTCCAGGGTAGCCACGTCCTGATGGATACTGTCCACTGTCTTGAGGATGCGCCCATTCAAAGGGGTGAAATCGCACATCTTGAGAGGATCGCTCACGCAGTTGGACTCGATGTAGTCCACGCGTTCTTCTGCTGTCAGACTGTTGAGGCCGGACACCGTGAACCTGTCCATGTCACTCATCGCACAGTCGCCGGTCTCGTGGTTGAAATTTGCTGACCTAGACCCATATCAGATGTGCATTAAGGATGCGAGAACTGATTCCGAAGAGAATTTAAATAACAAGATAACAGGAAGACACGCAGAGATCAGCATCTTAAGTTGCAGACGTTCTTCACGCTTTAGCGTCAGCGAAAAACACCTTGAAGACGTCTGTCTTCTAGGACGTTGCGCTGCATGGTCTCGTTTTAGAGGTGCTTGCTGCCTCCATAATCAGGGTAATGATGGAGACGGTAAGCTCTTCTCTACCACTGATCAATTTCTACAAGACTGCACCGTACATACGCTGTACTTACCGCCGTGAGAACCTAAAATCTCACAAATAATAAATACATCACGTGTCCATCCATGCCTGTAGCGTTTTTCCAGGGACTTAGGCTACCATCACAACCAAAGGTCATTGTTGGAGTATTGTTGCAATAATGTTAATCGAGGTAATTGCTGGGGAGAATTTTTGAAAAGATGTAAACCCATTGATAAAATAGTTAGAAAGTGAGGAAATTACATTCTCATAAATCTTACATAAATATCGTGTAAAAGTATCTCAGTACGGATTAAAGTGGCGAATCTTTATTTATACACTTATTTGTTCTTGGTTTCAACGACTCTGTCAATAACATCGAATGAAATTGGACGACCAGCGGATAATGAATTGTAAGGACTGAGAAAATAAGCCATTGTGGCTTAATTTAAGGCACTAGGATATGCCGGAAATTCCTTGAAGGGACTGACGAAAACTACGGAAAGCCTTAGTAAGGACAGTCTATCTCCGGGCAGAGATATGAACACGGAACGTCCCTAACATGAAGCAGAAGTCGTAACAATTCGACCGCGACGTTCCCTAGCGGGATCTTTCGAACATACTGACAAATATTCTGATTCCATAAAGAACGAGGAATTTCTTGATTATCTGAGCCCCTATTAAGTTCTCAGATATGTTGCCATAAACGGATTTCGTCTTCTTATTATAATTTTTGTAATATCGGCCATTCTTGAACAACCATTTCATTAACTTTGATTCCAGCTTCGTGTAATTTGTAGTGGGCCGATTATGGGTCAAAGTAATTCACCTGGCAACTTAGATGCACGCTTCCCATACAAAATATGAACTTAGAGGCCAGTGGGTGGTTTATGAGACGAGACGTGTGTGCTGATGGTCGCAAATTCATGTCATTCTCTCCCTTCTTCCGAGTTAATTGTTATGCACTTAGTGCAAAAGATCGCGTAGCATTACTGGAGCAGCGTCTGATTTTTTATCCACGAATGAAAGTTGGCATGAACCTACACTGTGACCCAGTACTCCATCTTTCTAACCGGCTGCAGTTGGTCGACTTCCCGTTATAACCTTATGAAGCTACAGACACAGGAAGGTACCGTTACGATGGTTTTATTATACAAGCAGCCGACCGGATTCAGAAGCACTCACTGCCTCTTTTTAACCAATTACGTCTACCAGTTCAGCCGACTACCTACTATACTTCATTTATTTTAACAAATTTGCATAATAAATAGTCACAGTGGACGCGCGGCTTGAAGATCGCAAACTGGACTCGTGGGTTCGCATCCCGCTCAAGACATGGCTGTGTCTGCGTCTTTCTGTGTTATCCCGTTCCGTACCTCGCGACGGGCTGATAATTCATCCAACTACCAGATGTCTAAATAGACAAAGCAAACTTTAGTTTGTGAGGTGACGAAGGTCGTTCATGGACTGCAGGGTCACGGATTAAGCGACTAATTAATGCACAATGGGGAGACCATGATATATGAGGCTGAGTGATGGCTTCACACCTTGACCTAAACAGCACCGTTACTGAAATGCGTGAGAGGCCGGGTGGACCCCAGAGCACGGCTGTATCTGGTGTCGCCGTTGGAATGAATATTTGCGTTAAAGAGGAAGATTACTGAAAGAAATATGAAGGTAAATTTCCACCTAAATCATATTCTTAATATTATAATACAATAAGTAATAATAAAAATGAAGTTGAGTTTGGCTCATGTATTAGCCTGTTGAGTATATGAACAAGAATTTGTAATTCAAATACCTCTCTAGCACTTGAATTTTACGAACTCGTGAAAATATTTCAATTTTTCTGGTTCCTTTCTCGATTCACAAGTTACAGGTGTATTTATTTGATGTGTCCCAGTCACTATTCTGAGTGAGGCCAGCATGAACAAGGAACACGCCTGTACCACAATTAACCAACTCGTCAAAATTCTCCACAGTATAAAGATTCATCTCAATGACGACGGTGTGTATCATCAAACTCTGCATCATCACAAAGTCCAGTTTCGTCTATTTCTGCTGATTCCTCAGATTCGCTTTCTTCAATTTCTATTTTCCTTCTGTTACTTGAGAAAAATTTTCCTGCTCAGATTTTCCTCGTAATTTTGCTTTCTGACATGTCTTAGTTATGTGTTAGGTTATGTTAGGTTAGACTTGGGCCTACGTCGTGTCAAGGGCGGAATTTCGGACACCGCTGCCATAGATTGTGTTCTTTGATGTCCTCATCCGACCTCTCTATTCAAATCTTCATCCAATTCAAGGTCAATTACTGTGAACTTTTCTGTAT